TTTGAACTAAATGAGCGGTTTGGGTACAAAAAAATATTTTTTAAATGTCTATATTATCGTGCCACCCATATTTCAGTAAGTACTTAACAAAGTGTAGGCACTGATTTTGTAGATTGACTGTAATTTCAGTCTGATTTTTAAGTCATTGTGCCTGACAATTTTTAATGATTGTTTACGACGGCGACGATAAGATATACCACCTGTTACTTCATTTTTGGATATGGATACACACATACGACGAATTAAAGTTACTTACAATGCGCCTAATTTTATTCAAATAATTAGAAAAAAAACAGTCAAATACAACACATTGATAGCATTATTATTGTCCCTGTTATTCTACCCAATAGACTGAATGGGAATTTTATTTATTATTTTTACCGGAGTTATTGTAAGGTGTGGCGTTATCACTCAAAGCTAACATGTGGTTTATGCATGATGGAACTCCACCACATTTCACTGTAAATGTCTGGCAGTATCTGAACCAAAGAGTGCCTCGTCGACGGATCGGTAGAAGGGATAATGCTTCTGTTAACTGGCCTGTACGTTCACCAGACTTAATACCTTGCGACTGTTATCTTTGGGCACTGAAAACAACAGTCATGCTTTCATATCTAACACAAGAAAGTTGTGGAGGCATATCCCAATTGCTATAAATGTTTTTAAAAATTGCCCTGAGGAATTGCAATGGGTGTACTTTCTTCACAAAATTAACTTTGTTGTAGAAGCGATGGTGATCATTTTGAATAGTTTTTATAGTTGTACTAAATTTAATAACATCAATTTTGTTACTATTATCTCCAGTATTTTTTATTGTATTTGATTGTTTTTACTAATTATCTCAATAAAATTAATTAACTCTAATTCATCGCATGTGTGTGTATCCATATCGAAAAATGAAATAACACGTGGTATATCTTATCGTAGTAAGTACTCATTAAGAATTGACAGGTACAATGACTTAAAAATCCAACTTAAATTATAGTCAACCTACAAAATCAGTGCCTACTAGCACTTTGTTAAGTATTGTAGTATGGGTGGCAAGATAATGTAGACGTTTAAAAAATATTTTTTGTACCTAAACCGCTCATTTAATCAAAATTCTACAAGAGTCCCAAAAACTTCCAAATGGTATCATCACCTATCAGATAAAAAATAATTGTCATTATTGCCCGAAAGAGGAAAAAGTTATGAACGGATCATCATACATCAATTTTGTAGAAGTTGTAAGTTTTAAAAAACACTCTATATAACATTAAAATTTGTAGATTGACAGCAAAAGTCCACATCCTAAAAATAATCAAAATCGATTTATACGTATTCGAGTTATTTACAAAATTAGAAAAATTTTCACGAACTTTGAGGCCATCTAACGGCCAAACGAAGCGATTTCGGATATAGGTGAATTAGCCTAAATCTGCCTATTTTGGGTCCACGAATCTGTGGTCTTCCATTGTACACGTTATTCTGGGACACCCTGTCTCTACAGAGTATTCTTTATATGATGGCATAGTCCGTTTGCTACTAGTATTTTTGTCACAAACAAAACCTCTATTTATTGGCCTAAACAAGAAGAACCGCTACCTTGATCACGAAAACCTTATACTACAATACAGTACACGTTGAAAAAATTGGAGAAAAAAATTGAGGACTCATAGTGACAGTTCTTGATGAATTCGGAGAGACTACGCACTAAAACCTACGCCATATGCTCGACGATTCTGGATTTTAGGTTCGTCGGTCTAGATATTACTCGATGATTCTGAACTACTGCAATATCATTAACTATTTTTAATGCTGATTTTGTAGTTCTTTACACTAGAGATTACAAACACGGCCGGGCCCGGTGCCCTTTTAGACACCCACCGGGCCCCGCCATTCTTACCGGGCCTGGTCACAGGACCCGGTAGGTATGAAAACCGCGCCGCGGGAGGGAGGCGGGAGCGCCAACTCGTAGAAAATTGGAATGGCAACCGCTGTGAGCTGCGACGCCGACGTTACCGTTCTGACGCGCCAAGTGCCGCTCGCCATTCCTCCCGCGTGCCCCCCGCCCCTGCTCGCTGTATACGTAATTTCTTTTGTTTACTTAGTCGACATTTGGTTGACAAAATATGTGTTGTGTTGTTACGCGATTCATCGCCGCCGTAAGTAAACAAATGTTGTATTTTTAGGCTAACATTAATTAACATAAAATTAGGCTAACATTGATTGATAAAAAATTTACCCGTTTGTTCTTAACTTGCAGGTCGTATCGTTTTTTTTACATCAATCATGTCACTTTCGAAGCCATCACGACCTATCCAAGTCATGCTAATATCAGCGAAAAACATGAAAATGTAAATCCACCTAATTCACATTCAATATGGAATTACTTCACCAAAGTGAACGATGGAAAAGGCGCAAAATGTTCAATGTGCAATAATGTATCCAAAGTAACTAATGGATATTAAAAAGGTGTTAAAACACATATAGCATCGAAGCACAGCATTAGTTTCTGGAGAATGCCAATTGAAACGTACTGCAATGAATTTAATTCCCACGGCATCTACACAAAAACCAGGTGAAAATAAGAATTCAGTAGATGAAATACCTACAAAAAAACAGAAAAAAATTTATTCTTTTTTCAAAAATGAAAGGTCTATGGAGACGATGGTTTCAAGAATGGTTTCCATAGGTGGTTACTCTCTTAACAGTTTTTGTGCCGACCCAGATATGAGGTTTTTATTTGCAAATTCCGGATTTCAACTCCCCAAATCACCTAATACAATCAGATCTATAGTCACGACCTTTTGAAAACACCGTCAACGCTGACATGGTGATAGAATTTGATCATCTGAAGAATTCGGGGCAAACATTTACCATTTCTTTTGACGAGTGGACCTCACAGCGTAACCACCGATACTTAAACCTAAACTTACATAACAAAGAAAAACACTACAATCTGGGATTAGTAAGAATTCATGGGTCATGTACTGCAGAGCACGCGATCGGTTTGGTGAAGGACCGCTTAAAAAGCTTTGGTATTGATTTAGAAACTGATGTTATTGCGATGACAACTGACGGTGCCAGCGTTATGGTTAAAATTGGTAAGCTAGTGCCTTGCTTCCAACAATTATGTTTTGCACATGGCATTCAGTTAGCCGTTGTTGATGTAATATACAAAAAATCAAGAGATCAAAATCAGGAGATTGAAATGAAACACGCAGATCTTGTCGAGTCCGATGACGAAGATCAAGACTATGCGATTGAGACGGACGTAAATACAGACTTAATAGTAACAGTAGATAGAAATGATCTTCCACGCGCTGAAGAAATGCCTGGATTCAGAGAACTTCTAGAAAAAGTTCGGAAGGTGGTCAGATTGTTTAGGAAGTCGCCCACAAAATACGATACTTACCTACAAAAATATGTTATCGAAGAGACAGGAAAGGAGCTGGCCCTTCTTTTAGACTGTCGCACAAGATGGAACAGCCTACTTAATATATTGGAGCGCTTCTACAAACTCAAAAACTGCGTGGATAAGGCGTTGATCGACGCGAAATCTGAGATCAAGTTTTCCGACAGAGTGGTTGTCGATTAAAAACCTTGTAAAATGTTTGGAACCATTCAAATTAGCAGTAGAGGGTCTGTGTAGAAGGGAAGCTAGCCTTCTTACTGCCGAGACTACTTTGAAACTCATTTTCGAAAAATTAAACAAACAAACTTCATACCTAAGCGTACAATTATCTGAAGCCCTGCGTGTGAGAGTAAAAGAACGTCGTTCTACTGTGATGACAGGATTATTAGTTTATCTAAACAATCCGAAATAATTCGATCAAAACATGAGACAAGCCGACGAAACGTTTCCCATGACAAAGAAAAATGTTCAGGAAAAAATCAGACAGAAAATGAAAAACATATTGAACAGAGTTATAAACGAAGTCCCAGAAGATGAGATTGAGGTAGTACTTGAAGTTGAAAATGATGGACTGAATTCTGAAAACGACTCGCTTCAATCACAACCGATATTGACTCTAAGAGAAGAATTAGAAAAGCAAATTTTAGAAGAAAAAGAAGAATTTTGTAAAAAGATAAATCCGGGACACAACAATGACTTAGAAAAGACGTTAAAAAAAGAGATGAGTCGGTATGAAGCGGAAGGCAATAAAGGTCACTATTTAACTCTTATTCAAGACTACATGATGTCCATAAAACCAACTAGTGTTGAAGCTTAGTGGGCTTTTTCGGCGGCGGGGTATATCTGCAGTAAGTTGCGAACCAGGTTAGGTGATAAAACTATTAATACAATTTGTTTTTTGAGATCATTCTTTCAAACTGAAAAATAATTGGTTTGCCTTATGCAACTTAGAATATACTTTTTGTTATATTATTATTATTAAGCCTGCTACGTATAACGTAACCAATTTTACATTACATTTTGTTAAGACTATACAAGTTTGGTTGTTTACAGTTACAGTACAGCCTAGCCTACAGTAGTTATAAGATTTTGCTATTTGCTTTTAGCAAATAAGAATTTGTTTTGTTTATACCAAAGCTACCAAAGTTTATCTATCTATCTAATCTAAGTCGTTTTAAATTAAAAAATCGTTTAGAAATATGTGACTTTAGAATTTATGAAAAAAATATATATTTGGGCTTGATTCGATTTTTAATTATTATTTTATTGGCTTGTGTGTACTATGTATAAATTGATGCACACCATAAATATTTAAATTCACGCGGTGTCTAAAACTTACAGTGTTTCGCCCTGTATTTACAGGAAAATTGATATAAAAACAGTCTGTCAGATGTACCTAACAGAATTTAAAATATTTTACGTGCATCTACTTGTAGAAAAAATGAAAGTAACGTAACTGCATATGAGAGAAGGGTCCCCTACCCATCCTCCAGAGCCGAAGAAATAGAAGCGAGGAGAGAGCTCATCTCCAGGACCAAGACAGTCTCTGAGAGGGAGACGCGTAAAAGACACCTGCAGTATTGTTGAGAAGATTAGTTATCTCGCGAGCTTCTTGATGATGTCGGTAAACGTGCTCGGGCTCGGTGTTAAGATGAAGAACTCTAAAAGTTCCTTAACAAGTTATGTTCTCCTGGTTGTGTGTATTGATGCTGCGGTTGCGCAGTTTATTGGACAACAGTCGGTGAGTTTACTCTTTTTGCATATTCAAATGCAGATAATAATTAACGACAGATCACTAACGGTATTTCTTAATTAAAGCAAACGAAAAGAAAATTCCTTTTATTTCTTGGAGACTTCAACAGACGGTGACAACAGTAACTTATTTTTAATTCTGACCGAAAGAAATAATTCTTGTGTAATTATGCTGATTGATTGTACTTTTCAGTAAAAAAAAATCAGCGCTATATAATTTCAGTAACTGTAAACCAGTAAGGTTCTTTTCGGGAAAAACAACTCTGATACCGGAAACTTCGCCATATTTTTAAAAATTACCTAATTATATGTATTTAGTAGGTACATATTATGGTGTTTTGGTATTATTTGACCAAACTCAAAATTTTAAATCGAATCTCCAAAATAAAAACAAATCCTATACGAAGGGATGTCCCGAAATGGTACGTTTTCGAAATACAGAGAGAAAGTATGAGAAAAAATTTCACATTTTCTAAAAAATTTCCAGGAATATTTCTGAAGACGCTTGACATAGACAGAACTTGAACCAGTGATAAGCCCAAAAAATGCTGCCAATTTTTTGTTAAATTCCCATTTCTAGCAAAAAATTTATAAATTCTTTTGTTAACCCAGTAGTCTTAAGAGTTATTTTAAAATCATTGTAGTGATTGATAACGGTCAAAAAAAAAGTACTAACTCAAAAATTGTCCATCTTTTCAGAATAAAAAGCAGAGCTGTAATATTAAAAATATCCAGTGGTGATGGGGTTTTCGGTGACATTAGTTTTCAGTAGATATCAATATAATTTAAAAAAATATATCAGTTCAATTATAATGAATCAATATAATTAACTGCTTAAGTGTTTCATTTATTATAAATTTTTTCTTTAATACCTGGTTAAGATATGAAAAGATATTTTATGTCAATAACATTCATTCATTTACTTCTAAATTGCTATTAAATTACTATTACTAATGAAGCTAATTGTAAGTACTGTTTAAAATTTCTGACTTTTAAAAGTACCAACAGTTTTTTTAAAATATTTTATGGTCAAGATATTTTCTCCTGAGATCCAATTCTCATTAGCGTACAAATAAAAAAGACGGATACTCGTCGTAAGTACCTACTAATTAATATTTATAGTTAACCTAGAATATAACGACACCATAAATATTTAAAACGAGTTCTCTTCATAAATTATCATATTTGGCAAAAGATCAACATATTTAAATGAACATATAATTATATTTTATAATATAGTATAGTGCTACAACCTTAAAAAATATTATCTTTATTAGGTTATTATAGTGCTTTAATTTGAATAAAAAGTTAAATTTTATAAATAATTTAAAAATACAATTAGACTGGTTAATTGGTTCATTCCAGTGTCGTACAACATAATTAAAAAATGCAGTCCTTTAAATAACATTTCTCGACTGCCATGTTTGAAAGTACTTTATTATACTCATTAGAAAAAATGGTACTAGGTAGTAACATATAACGCAAGCCATTTTTGACACTAACTATTAAAAAACTTGTGTAAACACTATCGCAACAACGATTGTAAAATCGGATTTCATTATTCGGAGTGGTTGAGGCCACTTGGCTCTCCACGGGTATTGCGAATGACATTTGAGACTGCAGTTGTCCAGCTATGCACCTAATGGTTGAAAATACTACAACTTCAATAAATTTTTTTCTCGGAAACTATAAGATAAGTTGTGAATCACTCTGTATATATATATATGTGTGTGTGTGTGTGTGTGTGTGTGTGTGTGTATAATACACAGAGTGTTTTCAAAAGAAGTAGCACAAATTGTACCGGTGAATCCGAATACAGCTAAAAAGAACACGTTTTGCATAAAAATGACCTTGGTAAAATGTTCATCTCTTATGAGATACAGCCTCTCAGTCTCAAAAAGATAGCGGCTTTAATCTGAACACCAAAAAAATTGAATAGTTAAATTTTACACAAATTTTCTACCAATGCAAGTGCAACAATTTTTCAAAAATTTCTACGCCTTGGATGGGGTTGAAATAAGCTACTTTTTGTTTGACAATGACAAAAATCCAATATTCAAATATACGTATCAGATAGCCTGGTTTATTTTAAAACTTTTACATCTAATTTTTGTGCTTTAAAACTAACCATTTTTAACAAAAAAATTAAATTCATTATCATTCGCATTACAATACGCACTTGTAACTAAGAAATATTTAAGTAGGTGGCTGTCATGCTAATGATATTTCCCTCGCAACGAGGTTACATTCTCCCAATTTCTCGAAGTCTTCTTCCTACCGCTGGGAAAGGGCGATTTGGATGCCTCTGGTGGTACATTCTTCTTGCTGCCGCACAGTATTTCCGACATTCAAAAAACACTTGCAGCATGTCAACATATTCATCATTAGTAAAATTATTGTGAAAAACTTGAATTTATAGCAGTCTTTTGACGAGGGTTTTGGAAAATCTAAGCAAGTTAGAAACAATATCTCTTCACTATACAAGTTTTCTCCAGGGTATAAGACAGTTTACAGCGAAGTTGCCTCTAAGCAGCCTTTTTTTATTCTGCGCACGATGGGCGTGTTCACCATTTTCAAACACAGGCATAGGACCCCCCCCTCTTCCCACGCTTGCACACTTTTACACACGTTTTGAACATTTTGAAATATGTATTTATTTTTCGAATTTTTATGTGTCAACCGAATTGCTTATTATTTAGAGCATTTCTGACATAAAATTTATTCGAATCCGTTGAGCTACCTTATAAAATAAAATTAAAGCTTTTACAAGTTAAATCTCTGATAATTACTCATCAAATATTTCTCTTGTTTCCTATCCTCAACTTCACTTGCTTATTATTTTGAGCATTTCTGACATAAAATTTATTCGAATCCGTTGAGCTAGCTACCTTATAAAATAAAATTAAAGCTATTACAAGTTAAATCTCTGATAATTACTCATCAAATATTTCTTTTCTATTGTTTCCTATAACTATCCTCAACTTCAAAAGTGTTAACATCAATATATAAAATACAGATGCCTTCGAGTTTTACAAAAAATTTCATCACTTCCTAAAGAAAGATAAAAACGGAAACCAGTGAAGTTTAAATAGGAAATAGTGTTTTATTAACGACAGAAAAACACATGGCACGACGTTTAATCAGGGGATAATATCAATAAAGACAAATCAGTAATGAGTTTTTGCGCTAAGTAAGGGGCTGGTGTTAAATATTATTCCAATTCCAGTATTTATCAGCCTTTCCCCATTATTAATTAAAAAATCTAACATTTTGAGTAATTTTGCCATAAAACATAATTGTCTTATATCGATAGGTTGCATCGTCTGAGGGTAAAATTAATTTATCTAGATTACATGCTACAAAAAATCTATTTAAAAACTTAAATCGATGGTATAAGTTATTTATAAAATACAAGTGTAAATAATAAAAATATATAAAAAAACTAATAAAACAAGATTACATACACTGAAAACTATTCGATTAGAATTAATTACTTTATCCAAAAAAAAGTGCTTACCTGTAAATAATTTAATTTGTTAAAATAAATTATTTTTATTACAGTTTTTACATTTTAATAACGTTAAATAGAGGAAATTATGCAAACTTTTGCATTAAAAAAACTATTTGGACATAGACTTTGCTTAAATAAATACCCATCGACAGCTACTTAATTTTCTTGGATTTAAGTGTATTTATGTCACGCTTAAAATGTGCGAGTGACTTTCTTGCAAAAGAATAATTTATTTAAATAAAGCAGATTACCGTCCGTCTGTGGTTTTTTGAATAAGAGTTGTAAAATTATTTAAAACCTTATATAATGCACTAATTTGATTAACAATTCTCACAGTTTGTGACACCCCACAGGTAGTAAAAAAAGCCGTGCCACCACGCAATGTTGCAATTCGGCCACTGTCGTCGATGAAACGACACTACTGATATAGTGCGTGAAATTGATAAATTAATTTTTATAATATGAAAAACACAATCGTACTTTAACTAAATTCACTTGCAAATAATTTTGTCACACAGTTTGCTGAAGATGTATGTACCTACACAGTAGGTTTAAAAATAAAATTCACACATTTGTTATAAAAGTGAACTACTAGTGAACTAGTGCAACCAAGTGAAATATTATGCAAGGTTTTTTTACAGATTAACCTTCTCTGTATTTATCAATTTTAAAGAACTTTATAATTCAATTTTCTTTTACAAATACATGAATTTTTGTAGTATCAATATACAATTTCAAATAAAAATATTTTTTGCTGTTAAGTATAGCTATTGTTATTCGAAAAACTTCGTAATTAACAATATATTATCGAAAAACATATCCTTAACTCATGATGTGAATAAGACCTGGGCTACACCACTAGAAATAAAGTGTCAAAAATCCCCATCTATCCCATGTGTGCTAAAAAAGTTATTCGGGGTCAAAGGTCAAAATTTGCGGTTTATTGGATTTTTTTTTGAAAACGTAAAGTTTTATCAAGAAAGTAGCCCTGACAAAAATATAGATCTTAAAATTATCTACAAAAATGGTCCTTATACTTTTTTTTATAAGAATCACCATTCCTGAGATATCGCGATTCTAATACTTGAAGAAGTCACGTTCTACATGATATGCACACATTTCCACACCACCTGTGAGGTAGTGTATTTTGGCGCGTTTTTTTTAACGTGATTTCCCCGGTAGGCCTACTCCACGAACTGTTATGACGGAATTTTCAGGGATAATACTCTTTTAACTGCATGATGATTATTGATATTGATATTGGTTTTTGACTTTAACTGTAGTTTTGATTTCTTTTGATATTTTGATCTGATTCATACTCTTCAAAGTCGACTTCAACAGTCACGTCTTCTTCGATTTCTTCTTCTTCTCCTTCCTCTTCTTGCTGGATGTTCATAAATTCTTCAAATGAAGATGAATCAGCTGTCTCTTCATCGAAATCACATGAATCTTCGTCTGTTGTATTCAGTTGGACATTT